CTCAAAACTGACAAACCAGCCTGCAGCTGTGAATTAATTCTCTGTAGTGATGCGAATAATGTGAAAAACTTTTAAACGTACTGGCTGGATAAAGCTAATAATATTGCTTCTATACTTAAAGTTTAAAATACATTTAATTACACAGCCATCTGATTATCTGGCAGAAATATTTTAAGACCAAATTTTAATTTGGCTGATATCTGGCAGTTCATTCCCACAGAAAGCACTGAAGATTCTCAAAAATACCTTCAACCTCTACATTCGAAGGCTGGCATGTCTCTGGTGAGCAAAGGTGCCAAGTGGAGACCCACTGCTGCAATCAGCTTGGCTATGTTTTTATTTAGCTGTCCTGCAACATTATTCTGCCACAGTGGAAAAACATATTGGGAATTAAACCTTAACTTATCGCTCAACTAATAATTAATGAATAATGTTTTGAGGGGAAGAAAATTCGTTATGTTTTTTAACTAAGCTGCAACACCGTTTTGAACCCTCTGTCACATTGCAAACACGCTTTTTCTCTTAGAGAGTAGTCAGTTTAACAATAAACTCTGTTCTGGGTTAATTTAGACATGAAAAGTAACTGTCTCAAAGTATTAACTCTTTACATGCAATGGTATTGCTTCGACTGCTACGAATAAGTACTGTCGTAGTTTTTAAGGGCTAGGTAACCTTTTTTGTGTGGTTCCTCAAAACATGAATAATACTAATTCTCGCTGTCATTTGAAGTTGCTTCTGGCTTCTTTCTTTGTAGCGCCTTCCTGTATTTCCAGCTGGTGGTTTTATTCTTCCATGTATCTTGCTTCCACTCTTAAAGATAATTTTTAATGAAATATTTTGATTGTTAGGCCGGATATCAGGCAGAAAAGAAATCGAGAACTTTAAGTCAGGGAAGACAGTGGGAAAAGGGAGAGAAAAGGGGAAGCCCAAAGAATACTCATTTTCAAGTCACAGCTTCCCCTGTGACTCATGCCTCACTAGTCTGGCTGAATTCCTCTGTTTAGGGTCAGTTCAGGCCTAGAGGAAAGAGATTTTAGAAGAATAAAAGAAATGGAAACCTGCTCGATTGCTCTTGGAGCATACAGCTTGAGATTTCACTGTGCAGCAATGTCCTAACACGAGTGTATGTTAAAAATATGTTCTTCTCCAAGTTTTGTGGCTTGCTAACCTCTTTGGAGATGCCAATTCATAAACTGGTTATGTCAGTCCTGTGCAAAGAACATAAGCAACCTCCATTTCAAAGGTGTGTCTCATAGTCACAAGACTTGAGCCAGAAAGAACTGGCCTTCAAGAAAACAGGTGGGCTTTGAAGATTTTCTCTTCCTGAGGGGTGTAGACCATGACATTTCCTCTCCACCTATGCTCTGATTCAGACTTTCTAAAAATGCTGCATTGCAGACTCTCAATTTAACATTCCTCTGATCCTCTGCAATTTTATTTCACCCTTAACCTTTTTCTTAATGCCTCTTCCTCTCGCCCAGCTCTGTGCCAACTGTCTCTTCCTGCATTATTTAGTCGGGGCCCAAAGCAAACAGCAGTATTTGTTTTATTCCGTGTGTTCTGCAGTGTTGTTTAAATGTAATGAAAAACAATGAAGGTAGATATTTGCAAAATTGCTTCCTGAGAGTAAAAATTTTTATGAGGTTGAAGATAATGTAATGAAAGTTTGCAAGTCTTTACATTTCTGGAACAGAGATAGAGATAAGTGTAATAAAATTATGATAAACAAAAATCAAAATTCAGAGACAAAAGTGAACACAGGACAAATTCCAATGTATTTATAAATATGTACTAATTTCCTCAGTTTTATGACATTACTGTTGAACTGCTTACTTTTACAGGAAATAAAATATATTGCTCTGTCAAATAGTAGAGTATGTTATCAAAGGTAATAAACAGTTGCTTGGTCTTCACTTAGCTGATAATAATCTCTTCAGAATTGTCTTTTGTTTTCATGTACTCACTATCATCAGAATATTACAGAAGTGATTGCCTCCTGTTTTTCCTTTAAATGTTAATTCCTGAGAGGTGTATTTTTTTGAATTTTAGTTTTCTACTTCCTGGTCAAAGCAATTGTTCTTTAATTCTGTTTTAAAGAGATTTGGTGCAAGTCAGGGATTTTGAGAGCAGAGCAGTGCTGTTTACCCATGGTCTTGGTTAGAGGGGAATGAGCTGATACCCCTGGCAAAATGATAAGTTTGAGACCTTTGTCAAGACCTCTGTTGACGTCCATCTTTTCTGAAAAAATAAGCAGAGAACAGAAGTTATAAAATTAGCTAAAGTAGATTTTAATATGAAGAAAAGGTCACTTTTACTGTGTGCAGCTGTAGTCCTTTTTATTCCTGGAAAGGCCTGCTGTATTTTCAGTATAGGAATTCTAGTGATGGTGAGCATAACAGCGCACAAAAGTATAGTAAATCATATGAATTGCTGCATTTCTTGGGAACACTTGATGGCAATCTCCCTCGAGATCTGTTTAATTTAGACAGTGACCAAACCACCAGAACACATATGATGATGGGGGATTTCCACTTAATTAGATGACTTTCGCTTTCACGCTGAACAGACATGCCCACTGAGAGGCAGCCTTTACCCACACTCCAACCTGAATGCTCCGAATTCTGGCATTTCTTCACGTTCATTCAGGTGGGGTTTTTGTACCTATCCGATGTGGACTTTCTTTACAATTAATTTACCTTAATTAATACCTTAATTAATTTAAGGAGGGAATGAAAGGGAATCCTATATTGCACTCTCTAAAACGTTTTGCATTAATGCTCTGTCTTGAGCAGTCACATCAATATCTCCAATATGTTACAGATACCAGCAAATGAAGTATTGAGTAAACAGGTTTGAGACTGTGGAGAGAAAAAAGTATTAACAGAATTTTGGGCTCATTTGTTCTGTGTGGATACTAATTTTTGTAATCTTAGGGTTTTACATTTGCACTCAAGACACAAAAATGCAGTAAAACATAGGAAAATAATCCCATTTTTTCATATATTAATTTATACTTTGTAATGAGAAATGGTTGAAATGACTAATCACATGGGGTGAAAAGTAGAACTTATGTTTTTCAATTACATTCACACTGCTTCAAAATAAGATTCTGAGCTCGGTTGCTGGCTCAGTGAAAATCAGGGAAGCAGAGGAAAATCTGCGGTGGATCTATGTAGGAAAGGTTCAGCTTGGCATAGGCTGTACACCTGGGGTTTTAATCCATTTGCCTGATTCTGTATTTTCATGCTGTACGCTTACATCTAATCAAATAAAAAGCAGAGATATACATGTTCGTAAGGGTATGCTAAATTATGGTATGGTTCATGTAGTAATATTGCTGTAGCTGCAGTTTGCTCACAGCAAAATTTGTAGGACAAGATAATATCTTTTGTTACACCAGCTAGCACAGTTGGAGAAACTAGACAAGTCTTCTAATATGGAAACAGTTTTAGTAATGAAGGACTGACGAAGGTGCTGGTGTCCTTCAACTTCTGAATTTTTTTACTAATTAGATGTTTTGCACAAATTTACTACCTCACAGAATGGTTTTGCTTCACTGTAAATTTTGTCAGCTGCCAGTGACCCAAAGGGGCCATCACAGAAGCCTGCCATTGCTGGAAAATTTTACAGAACCCTACTTCTTTGCCTAATACTTTTCCCTGCATTTCCATCTGAGTGGCTGTGCAGTGCAAAAAATGAAGCATATGAACCTATCCAGTGACATTTTATTCATCAGGTCTTGGAGAGCAAGGATGTGCCTGTGTAGTCCTTTCCTGGCAGACATAAGTATACATTTCTCGTGCTTCAAGCTGGACCCAGGCCAGCTCTGAACAAAAACTGTTTAGCTGCAGTTAGAGTTGCTTTGTGTTCAAACTAATGTGGGACTCAGCCTCTCAGCAAGACTTATTTTCTCAAGTACAACACAGTGTTAGCCAAACTTTACAGCTTTTGATCTGGAGCTAGCTCATATTCAGCTGACTTAAAGCATAAGGCAGATGAAATCACATCTGTGTGCAAGATAGAATACAAATTAAAGCTGATCTTATGCAACATGGCCATGGCTAATGGCCATGCATGGCAGAAGGTCTGTCCTCGCTGCACCGAGGGGCTTGGGGACATCCGTTTGAGCTATTTGCGGACACAACCTGCAAATAGGTTGGAGGGGAATGGGAAGGGGCTGAGAGGAAGAGTGCAGGAAGGTACCTGCACGGGTGAGGTTAACTAAGGAACTAAGGAAATTTAGTTTTTTTCTTCAAAATGGCAAAATACAGTTTTGCTTTGGTGTCGAGAAGCAAATGCAAGCAAGCTCATCCACGAATGCAATATGGAAGTGGCATGGAATCAATGCAAGTCTGGAGTTCAGAAGTTACTTCAGTGATAGTAATTAACTACCTGAACATATTAAGAAGAAACAGAAAAGCAAAACATGCGGTGATGAAGTCGTTTCAGTTAATAAATTAATGTGCATAAGCTACTTTATGCACATTTGACCTTCTCGTGTTGATTAATTTAACAAATGGGAGGGGTCTGAGGAGAGCATTTGCTATTATTAGTATAGTCGAGCATAGGAAGCGTTTGAAGCACTTGGTCACAGCAAAAACATCCCTGTTTCTGTAGGAACAAGCAAAATGTTGAGACTAAATACAGGAACAATCTCTAAAAGGAGGCAGGTTTGAGATGTGTGACTGTTTAAGACAAACATTCTTTGTGTTTGGCTTGTGTTGCAATAAAAGATAAGATGGATAATACCATGTTCCTAGAAAAAAAGAGGCTATAGAAAAAGTGCGTTTGTTCACATCTTGAAAGTAAATGTGGTGATTAATTGCTTTAGAACTATCAGTTAAGCAGAGAGGGTGTTTGCTTTCTTGTATATGCACCCATACACAAAGCTATTCTGCTCAGCCTGTTTTCCTTGCATATGTGATTTAAGTGTAAGCGCTTCAAAGCGCTTCAAGGGTTTTCAGAACTCTGTTTTTTGTCTCGGCTTTTTTTGCCTGCAGAATTACCACACACCCGTGAGAAATATTCATCGTTTTGGGCCTGCTAAACGTAAACAGCTCTCAGTTTCACAGTGACAGAGCTGCAGAGGAGCTGCAGTCACCTCAGGGAAGGAATGTGAACTGGGCTAGGCAGCTATCAGCTCACAAATAGTTCTTTTAAAGAACTTAGATCTGAAGTTGTTTGACTCTGTCCTATCACGAGAAAATTGGTCTCCGTGCTATGAGTGGCAGGAGCATATTCAGTGTTTAAAAGGATTCCAGAAAAAATTATTAAGTCATGGATATTTATTCCTCTCACTCTGATTGCTGTATCCGAGTTATTATTTGAAGAGAATTCTCTGTTGCACTGCATTGTACAGTGTATATCCTGTGAAGTCACAGAAGATTTTCTATTCTTGCAGCTTGTTTTGTCAGTCAAATAGTGCTACACAGCGTGGTCTGGATATCAGTTTTACTATCGTTAAAAAAAACACCAAACATGGTCATTATATATGACAAGCTTTTCCTACTGTTCCAGAACGTATAGTAGAACACATTATTTTTGAGCCTAAAAATTCCGTAGCATCTTAATCAGCTGTGAAATACTTTCTTGTCTAAAAGCAAATTTTGTGCAGGCAGGTTCAATTGGAAATGATTTTGAAATGTTTCCAGTTACTTTTTCTGGTTTCAGTCTGACACAATGAAACAGGAGATGGTTCTAAAACTACTGCCCTATTAGGAATGGCCTTTGTTTTTCTTACAAGATATGGTCAATGAATCACTTAATTAGAATAATTAAATGGAGTTTTAATGGATTAAATGTCAGTGGTTGGGGTGGTATTACTTCACTACTAAAGCCGGAAGAATTTATAAATAACGTTACAACTAAAATAAACCAATTTGAAGTATTTGCACTAAAAAAGGCAAGTCTTTTTATCAGAAGGTGTCCTGCAATATCTGGCAGCTATCAGGTTAATCAGAGGAGCTGCCGAGAGCCGGCACGGTGCTGCTGTGGCTGGGAGCAAAACCCCGGGAGAGGAGATGCTGGGGCTGGGGACACACTTGCTGGGAGAGGCATCTCATCCCCGTCCGGCAGAACGTCCCCGCTCGGGACCCCCGCTGAACCCACCGGAGACCATCTTGTGTGACCACACGCTCGTTGGTGTCGCGATCGGTGGGAGAGGGTCCATACCGTCTCGGGCAGCAGCATGGACCTCTGTGGTTTTTGAATGCTGCTTTGAGGTGAGCTGATAGCAACAGGTGACAGAGTCGCTCGGTGTTAAGCCTTTACGGGGAAAAAAATAAAACAAGAATCGGAGATCAGGAGTCTCATTCGCTCTCCGTCATATAACTAGTGTCCATTTTGTCCCCCCTCCCCTTCAGCGGCGTTATTCCTTCTTGTTGTCACAGTAAGTGGAATCCGTGTCAAGGCCAGAAGTTCATCTTTCTGAATAACAAATAAGTGGTACTGAAGAAAACAGGAATAGTTTTCAATTTATCACATAACAGCTTTGTTTCAGGGAGGTGCTTTTGAAAAAACAAAAGTTTGAGCTCAAATCCTGCTGGATGTTAACACAAGTCTGGTTTCCCTGACGTTCTCTTGACTGCCCCGTGCAGTCTTTCTCACATGCAGTGTCTGATCGCTGCAGTCGGGTGGCAACCACAATTGGAGCCTCCCTACTGATGCCCAGCAATCATAAAAGAGTCTTGAAGCGGCTTACAGCTGATGTAAATAGTGATCTCTCTCTAGGTGGTCTTATTTGCCCAGCCAGTTGAATTGGCAGTGCTAGGAAAGCTGCACAGATCCGCTTTTACCTGCCCGGCCCCGAGGGTGAATCCCTTGCAATATAAGGGCCGTATAATTTGGAAATGGCTTGTGACAGAACTGTGCTCTGGAGTCTGAATTTTCATTTTAAAATACATTCCTACAACTTGAGCATGTAGAAATAGACCCAAATCACAATTTCAACTTTACTCTGATGCAATAGGGTTGTTTTTTCCTCATTCGGGTGAGAGCTTGAAAGTTCCCTGGTAGCTGTGAAGCTGCCTCATTCATACCAGTATCAGGCTTTGAGAAGTTCGTGCTGAAGCCATAGGTTCTGGCTCCTTTTCCAGATGCCTTTTTCCCTGAGGGATTTGCAGAAGTGATCCAGACTTTGTCCCACACCTACTTGCACTCCAGGCACAGAAAGGCCTTTTTGCTTCAGTCAAGTGTACTTTAAACCCAGCTTTTCTGTCTGAATGCTGAAGATTTCCTTTAGTGTATTCTGCGTGTCCCCTGCTAGATTTAGGCTAAACCCTAAACTGGGTTCTTACCGTTCTCCAAGTTCTCCTCTTCATTTCTTGCAGCTACTGTAAACCCTCTTCTTTAACTGGTCACTTCTATCCAAAAAGTCTACTATTTTACTTTCAGACCCTTTGTGGCGTGTGGCCTGTTCCGCATCTGCACAGCTGACTCAAATACTGTGGGAATGAACTGGCCACTGTGCCCTTAAATCTACCATGAGACTTGCCTTAAGTCACCACCTCTACAACACCATCATCATCAGGGCAAGGAAACAAAGTATTTCAACACAGGAGAAGACTTTAAAAGCAGCTTGGAGTGTATGTACCATCTTCAGAGAAAGGTGCTAGATGCAGAAATGCATTATCAACCTGTCCCAACTTAATATGCACTTTTTGATGGATGACAGAGTCAGTCCCTTGCCTTGTCCCTTCCCCATCTGCCCCAGGACGGTGGATGTCCTCCTCTGAGAATGACTACATGTGTCTGATGAAACCAGGAACCTACGAGTTGTTTCTCGTGCTTCTATCCTACCATATCTGCAGCTCCAATCTTGTCAATAGCTTCCCTGGAAAATGAGTTACTAGTGAGTGCATTTCTGTTCCTGTTCAACTATGATAGAGCAGGGTATTTTGGATATTTTGTCTGTTTTCAATAAAAGCCCAGGGAGGCAGTTTAAAGTCCTTTGGACTGAGGGGATCCATACGAAGTGAGATACAGGAGGGCAAGTCCGTGGCCCACAGCTTCTCTTAAGAGGGATATGAGTCACCAGTCAATCCTGTGACCATTATGCATATCAAAACCTAAAGCTATTAAAATAACATTAAAAATGTTGGGAAGAATCAGCTAGAGCAGTATGTATAAAGGAAAGAATACAAGGACACTAGTGCACCTTTCTAGTCACAGCATTTGAAAGTTATAACTTGTTTTATCTACCTAGCTTCAGAGAACATCTACAGGGCTTAAAATTCAGCTACACTGGATATGAAGAGTCCAAATCACTGGGTATTGGCTGTGCTTTGGGTACGACAGATTAAATATCTCTTTTACTCTAATTCCTAAAAGCTTGAGGACTTTTGCAGTAAGAACAGTTCTGAAATATCTGAAGTGTTGTGAAATGAAGAGACTGTCTCACATCCCAGTTTTTTCCCCACCCTTTTCATAAACTACACAAATATTTTTAAGTATTGATGGAAAATATAGCAGGTGATTTTAAAATGTAGAAAGCAAACTGCCTTTCTATTTCTGTTACTCTGAATAAAGGGACATCCATTCTCAATGAACTGATTTCCATGTTCCATAAAAGTGCATCAGAAATTTGAAGGTAGTAAGTGTGATAATAAATACAAATATGATCAAAATGGTGCCCAAAGCATGGAATATGTTTAAGTGCTTCATTCCCAGGGTCCCCTGGTACTAGTTTACCAAACTAACATTTCAAATTGTGAGTAATTAAGACAGAAACATGCAAAGCAGCTGACTTAATGACAATACAGAAATGTGTGCTCAAATTCTTCTAGCATTTGACAGGAGATCCTGACCATGAAACAGGAATTAGACCATATGAGCCTACATAGCCCAGCCTTGGGCATGGCTGTCTAATTTACTAGATAAAATACAGACAGTGGTTAGTTATTTTTTAAATACAAAAGTCTATGTCTACATTACTGTTTTAATAGAAGTCCCTTTAATAAAATCTGAGAGGTAATTTTAAAGAATTAAACTTGAATCACTTTTTACTTTTAGAAATTTTGCTAAGTCTGGCTTTTGACTACTATCTACAAGGCCACTTACTTTAGACAAAGAAGTTGATGTGTGTTCTGCATTCTCATTATACATGAGAAACTATTACAGAAAACATTATATTCTCTAGTGCTCACCAGAACCTCTAGTCACTAAATATCAAAATAGTGAAATAGGCATTATAGAGTAATTTGTCAGACTAGTTTCATATGCAGATGCTCTATTCCAGAATAAGCATCAGTTTATTTGAAATCATTTTTGCATGATGAACAACAGTTATTTTAGGAATAAATGCCTACCTCTGCAGTTTGTTTTCACGTGTTGGCAAATCCACAGAGGACAGATTCTATACAGATAAGGAAGTTTCTATGTTTGAGTTTGAAAAAGCGATTCAGTCTGTACTCCTGAACAAAGTCCGTGGCAGCAGGATACAACTCCTAAATTCTATAAATACTTTAACCACACTCTGGAACTTATTTTTAAAATACTGTTTGCGTACTAAAAGTTGTACTTAATACCTAATCTATGTTAGTGCTATAGGTTAGTCACAGTTCTAGGATCATTATCTTTTTGGCATATTTAATGCATTTTTCTTTGTCTGTTTTTAATCTAAGTTATTGCTCAGAGCACTAGTGACCCAGTTCCTTCCCCTGCTTGTTTACAGATGAGGTGAGTCTGTACAGAACAGATAAACTATGACTACTAAGAGATTATTTAATGCTATTTAATAATCTATGTCAGCTAGCATGCTTGTGAAGGTTTTATTATAGGCATCTGAAAAGTCCTGTCTTCAGGTGGAATCATCTTAAATCTTTACTGCTTGTTATAGCCTATGCTATTTACTAATTCACATTGATTATTGTGGGTTCAAGAGTCAATTCCATTAACACAACAAAATCCAAAGGTTTTGTGTTCTATTTTTGTTAGGGAGAGAAACCTTCTTCTGCTCTGTAATTATGAAGCCTGTTGCACAGAGAACGCAGCAGTTAAAGATACTCATCATTCTCTAGGCCGTATTTCGACATTTAGAAGGAATCTGGATCAAAGATTGCCATAAATATTTAAATAAGACCAGCATTTCTTTAATGTCATAGGTTACAATAATAGTAGAACTAGGGAACTTACCTGTTAGCCCTTGTTGAAGGATGCTTAGTTTATGTTAAGTAAATTTCTCTTTATGCGTTAAAAGCTTCTGGCAAAACTTGAACTGCTTCAATTAATTATTCTTTCACATCACACCAGACTTCATCTTAGAATAGCTCTTCCAACCAATAAATGAAGAGAGATCCCGTAGTCTTGCTTTCTATATCTCTGTTTTTTCTTGAGACTGTAGAGAGCGTGCACTCTACCAACAGAGGTACTGGTGAAAATCATAACCATTTACCATCGCCAGCCTTCTGCTAGAGGTTGCATTTTTAGTGTACCTGCTTTTTGAGCTGCTTATGCAGCCGCTAATTCTGTAAACATGACTCAGATCACCATTAACAGTTTAACGAGGAGGTCTTTGCTTAACCTAACGCATTCTAACTGAAGAAGAAAAGGAAAAGCCTAGCGAAGCCAGAAGACACCATGTGTCTGCAATTAATTTAAATTATTTCTTTTTAAAGATAGATAAAGAGTTATCCTTCACAGCTGGTTAGCTGTATAGAGAAGCATGGGAGACCTCTGCTACCGTACTTAAAATATTAAGCAAGGGGTCACCCTGATTGCATCCTGACCCCAATTTATGGTGAGTCTGCCCTACCCTGTGTTGTGATACCTACAGGGGAGAAATCTCCTGTCGTCATGCAGACGGAAAGAGAGCTGCAGATTACTCCAGCCAGCATCTAGACTCTGGGGAGTGATTTCATGTTGCTCATTTTCAGGTTATTTCAAGAATCGGGTAGAAAAAATAGAATAGTTCCAGTTGGAAGGGACCTACAACGATCATCTAGTCCAACTGCCTGATCACTTCAGGGCTCACCAATAGTTAAAGCATATTTTTAAGGGCATTGTCCAAATGCCTCTTAAACACTGACAGGCTTGGGCTGTCGACCATGGGGCATGAGGCATTGACCATTTCTAACTATTTACATAAAGCATCAGGAGTTAACGGACGTGTTTCCCTTGAAGTAATTTTACTTACCCAGCATCACGTATCTGGCCCTGGAGAGAGTCCTAAATTCAGTTTAGAGGTAATAAATGGTCATGCTGTCAAATCTGTGTATGCTTATTG